TGAGCCGTTGATGATGTTGGAACTTGAGGACATCGAGGATGAAAAGCCTAGTATGGAGCTGGAACTTGCTTCCAAGTTTCCGCCACTGAACGAGGCCGAGACCGTCGCGAGCGAGTCGAACCATTCTCGTGGTTCATCTCCCGTGTACGGCATTCAGAATCTGCGGTCTACAGCGGATACCATCAACACAGATTTGATGGCACTGAATCTGTCCCCTGCTACGCCTACACATTCTAGACCTCCTTCAAGACCTCCCTCGAGATGGAGTACCACTGGAGCTTACGAGTTCCCATTGACTCCGCCTTCCAGAAGCATGTCGCCATTGGTCCAAACATGGAGGAACAGGGATCGCTTACCCTCTAAGCTCGACGAGACTGTGACATCTGATTATGATGGCTCCTGGATCAGCGGTAGGGAGCCGAGGAGTATGTTGACTCCAGATTATCAAAGCAATGTGGCCAGTGGGTGGTAGAAGGTTTTGGGGCATATATCGGTGCGTCGGCGAGATTGCAATCGGATCATGAGTGTGCATTTCCTTGGTGTTTCGTCAGTATTTCGATATTCACTGCTGTTCAAGTATGAGTATGGGATTGGATGTTCCTGTTCTGTCATCACCCGGTCTGCTGTTGAATGTTGAGTTGGCCCGCATGTTCAGAGAAAGTGGCTGCGAGATGTCACCATACTGCGACTTCCATTATTGTCTGTTGTCTTCCTTCCCCCTGGCCATCCGGTCGTTTTTCGTTTGGTCTTCGGAGTCCTTTCACTCACTCTCTGCAATTGCCGTCGGGTCTGGAACAAACTTGTTCAGGGTCCAGATATTGGCAAAGTTTCATGGATAAACGTCGAGCTGGTAATGAATCATTGCTCTATAACAGCTGCGCTACTTCGAGATGACATCGTTCGCAACGCCTTGCTTCACAATGCCGATGTCATGATCACACCGCGCTGTCAGTGGGTGAGCACGGGAAAGCTCCTATTTCTCATAACTTGCCCCCAAAGAGTACAGTTACGAGATTAGGACAGCCGTTCAGCCAGCACCTTTGGTGACTCCGAGCCTCGCCCGTGATCTCGGCGGCGAACATCCCAGGACGCACCAAATACTGTTCTCTCAGTAGCTGCATTATCTCATCAATCCTATCTTCCCGCCCTTCTATGCTCCGGGAGTCCCACATTTTCCCCATCTCTTCCAAACCCTCCCACGGAAGCTCTCCTTCTCCAGCTAACCCGGTGTTGAGCAGGTATTCTGCCGCTTCAACTGATCCCTCTTGAATGTGCTCTCAAGTGGGGAGTTGATAACGTTGTAATAGGCATAATCTTCTGCTTCGTTTTCCTGGATTCCTCATCCATAGCCGCCCAAGTCTCACGGGTATTTTCCCTGGGAAGCTTTGGGAACTGGAAGAGAAATGGCGGGACACCCAGTTCTTCAACATAGAACCCGATCGCCTCCATGTTATTGCCCGCTGCCGCATATGACAGCATATCATACCATAATTTTTGGTCCTCGCCATCCATAGATGACCACAACATTGGTGTCAGCGGCGTGTTTTCGGAATTAGCAGCTGCAGCATCACCACTACCATCACTAGTCAGGCCCGTCTGCTCCCTAATAAGCCTTCTGACAACATTCAGTCCCCCATTCCGTATCACCTGCCAAATCACGTCGAAGAGATCCCAGCGTCGAGACTTAAGCTGCCCCAAGTAGTAGTCATGATCGCGATCACCGTTCCCGTCGCCGTCGCCGTCAGCGCCGAGGTAGTTTCGGTCAAGATAGCGCGAGCGAAGCCAGCGGTACTGGGCATCCTCGGAGATGTTCGGCCACCAGTCTTCTTCGATACAACTCGTTGTCGGGTCGGCAAGTCGGGGAACTTGTCGCTAGTGGGTGTAGCTCGTTTGCATTTCGTTGTAGGGGACTGGCTCGTCCCACCTCCAGTGTTTGTAAGTCGTGCCGTCGGGTCGGGTGACGATTATTGGGGGGCCTCGAGCGGGATATGGGTATGACAGGGTGGGTGGGAGGAGTGAAAGGGAGAGGGTGACGGTAAAGATGAGGGTCAGAGGGGTGAAGGAGTATTTTTTGTTGTTGTTGTTGTTGTTGTTATTTTTAACGTCTACTTCCGCCTCCCGTAGGGCATGAGACGTGCCGCACCGGTGAGTCTAGCATACAAAATTAAGAGCAATGCCCTAACTGTCCACCAAAACCATTAATCCGAGGGCAAACCGAGGCCTATTGCCAGTGTAAATCATGTGTTGCCCACAGCGTAAACGCGGCCCAACACTTAAACTCGAATCGCCCAGTGAGCGAGCCGCCAGTACATGACGGGAAGGGGTGAAAGAGGAGGAGAAGGGTGAACGCATTTTGATGGTTATGGTGTCGTGGTTTTTGAGTGAATCTGGTTTTTGTCGTTCATGGCTTTTGATAGGCTTTATGACTTGTCTCATGTCACTATTGCACATGGAAGCAAACATAGTTCAAGCCAGGAGACCAAGTACAAAAGAAAACATTTTGGTAGAGGCCAATGAGGAAGGTAGGCAACAGCATTTACCATCTGGACAGATCTCATAATCTTGTTAGTTCACATTTTGGAGCTTGCACCACACCAATAAGACGATGTTGACACTCCGTTAGATATCCTCAGTCCTTCAATGCAATTGGAATCCCACGTTGCAGAAACCATTAACAGTCGCCTGCATGGTCCACGAACAAGTGGTTTCAGGGGTTTTGTTTATACAGTCGAACCTCCTGATTCTGCATGTAATTCAGACACTATGGGGGACTTCCAAAAGTTATGCACTAACTAGCATATATGCAGAATAGGGAGCCTGCTTTTGGTGGGAGACAGGGGTTTGCGACCTCGCATGAGTATGCAGTTAGAGGGCATATTTTGGTGTGTATGCAGTTTCTGGAGTATGCAAAATCAGGGGGTTCGACTGTATTGATGTTTTGGCTAAGACTTGTTGAGAAATCATCGCTTGCTTCCAAAGCAACGAAGGTGAGGGTGGAGGGATCCATCTTGGGTAGGGTTAGGGGAAAGAATCAACACGCACAACTGGACGCGGCAGGCAATGGCTAGAGGTATGATAGAGGCCGGCAGCAGTACGTACAAGTAAGCGGTCCGGGCCTGGCGCACGTGCCTCCCTGTCGAACCCCGCCCGCCCGATATCGTTTCTTATCAGAGGGCATGGAGAAAACCGGCAGTGCAGTGAGTTGGGACGGATTAATTTAACGAATTGGAGGTTTTGTTTGCTGGGACGAAATCCGTCGGCATCTGTGATCCTCTGAAAACGACTTCCAACAGCAGAGATGTCTCTGTCTCATGCGTCTTCACAAATAAAATCAACAAACCGTTCGGCTCAGAACGGTTCTTCTTGAAGCCGCAATGGAACTAGAAAACGAGGATCAGAAAAAGTTCCAGAGCGTGCAATTGCATTGTCTATCCTTCGTTTCTAGTTTATTGCCCCTTTTTTTTTTTTGACTGCGGCACGCATATTACGGAGCCTCAGCCGTGGACGTGGTTCTTCTTCATGCGGGCTTTTGGTTGCCGGCCGACCGCTTTTCGACCGCTCTTATCTCTAGCCAGGACAGCCCGGCACTCCGAAGCGGATGCCGGGGGTGACCGGGGTCCGGTCACTCGTCGCCCACCACCTGAGATCCGCCGCCGCCAAACTCGCCTGGCTGAGGTTCTGTCCCACTACTGTTGTACAGTAGAGGTAGTCCCGTGATTCAGCCATGAAGTGTACGTACATAGTGAGCCCGAGTTCTCAACAGCAAAGGGATATTGTATGTTTTTTTAAATGGCAAAGGCCGGGCTCCGAAGTACATACCGAAAGAAGGACGGAACCCAGCCGTAGAGGTTCCCGTGCCGGGGTTTGGAGAAAAGAAGGAAAGGACTAGGCTCAAAGTTCGGCACAGCCATCCATGTCCAGTTCGTGTCCGAAACTCTAGACTCCGGCCGGCGGTAGGCGTGAAAAAGCGGAGATCACAATCCTGAGTTCTGAAATCCTGACTCCCTTCAGCCACTCTGGTTGTGACTCTTTTCAAACTTTATGTACCGCTTAGTAAAAACCGGGAGTCCATAATGGAGAAGGAAAGGAGGCGAGGATGTTCATCTCCCCCACAAATTGTCTGAAACAGCATGAAGAAAAGGAAAATAGACATGCGACACGGAAATCTGGGGATAGCGAGGGATAGCAGGAAGGGAAAGGGCTGAATGGTTCCCAATGCCAATGCACATTGGATATTACCGTCACACTCCAGTTTCCAATGTTCGAGAACCTCGAGTCGCTGTGATGCATGGATGGATGGACGCTCTTTCAGCTCGGTACTCCCCAGCGAGGCTTGATACTTCTTCAAGATATCGGAAAAGGCCGTAGACCGCCAGCAAAGGTCCCAAAAACACAGCGTCAGGTTTCTCCTCCGGCCGGCTGGCGGAAATGAGATATATGATATGTACAACTCCCAACGCCTATGCTGGCATCCCATCTCACCCATATCAGTAGGCGTTGGTGTTTTGAGATATGAAAATGGTTCCTGATAGGCTGGCTTGGTGTTGCAGGCAACGTCAATTGGAGATCGACCTCTTGTCCATCGCCTGGGACCGTGCTGAAGAAGTCGGAATTCGCCTCGTTGCGGCACGCTGATGGACGTCCTGGACTCCAATTTCAGCTGTATTATCTCGATCATTCTGTTTCTTTTCGCTTATCGATCCTGCCTTGGTGTTTTGACAGGTTCATCCCGTCAATGCCACTGTCACCGACGGCGGCAACAACCATTGTGTAATAGTACGGCAAGGGCCGCCCATTGAAGTTCAAAATTGCTGAGCTCTGTAGCCCCCACGGGCTAACCACGCACTAGCGATCCTGCCCGCGTGGTGTGTCTGAACGATTGGTTTTGATAGAGGATGGGAAGCGACTCAAACAGCAGCCACAGCAACCGAATCCGACGGGCTTTCCGTCTGAATTCGATTCTGCACCAGACTTTTGTCAGAGAGCCTCATTTTGATGAGGGTAAGTCATCGACATGCCAATTGGGAATCTGTCGTCTGTCCAGACCCAGACGACAGAACGGTGACATGTCGTCGAATGCCATCCCACATGGCGCCTGCATGCAAGTTTGCATAGTTGCATCACCACTTCCAGCCAGGTCAGCCTTGGCGAAAGATAGGCGGCCCCTCTCCTCTTCCTTGACACCAATCCCTGAGAGGACCGGACGACGAGCTGGTGATGTTTTATAACCGATCACGACCGACCACGGAGTCATCACAGTCTCGCGATGAATCGATGTTATGATAGTCCAGCTCGGGCTAAAATAGGGTAAGCCTCACCATGTAACGCTGCTATGGGAAGCGGAACTTTCACCAATGCAGGCTGTTGCTCCTATCTCGAGCGGAATCTCATATCGGTGATGGTCGCTGAGAGCCCTTGCCAGTCGACGGTTACATGGCCTGTTGTAGGGGTCCCGGGATCCCCTAGTGCGCTCTTACATGATATCAAAAGTCAATTGAATGTCATTGGCGTGAAACAGCACTGGAGGCATATCAAAACCGCAATTTCCAGCCTGTGAGGGTTGAAATCGATGATGGGTAGTTCAACCACCAATCCGTACACAATCGGCATGGTTCCCCTCACGCAACTGAGATCCTACCTCGGGACGGTAGTGAGAGTCTACACTAAAACTAAAAACCTGGCAGTCAAAGTCGTGGCGTGGGAAGCACGAAGTCATCATCCTCGTTGTGAAGATCTGTGACGCAAAAGACCGGAAAACTCACTTCGGTAGTTCAAGGTAAACGGCGCGCTACGGGCGTCCCACTGGCGGCGAGCCGGGCCTCGGACGAGGGCTTGGAAGGCACTGGAGGGGTTGAAGAGGTGACTTTGTGGCCCGTCTTGTCCCCGTCTTGCCCCGTCTTGCCCCGTCTTGCCCCGTCTTGGCCTCGCTGAACATTTGCTTTGTGCGCGGACGTGCTGCTTGGCTGCATGACATTATGGGACGGACAGGTGGGGAGTCGAGGACTAGGTCATTCCCGTCATGCTGTCTCATGAGCCTGCAAGGTCCGCCAGGCTCGAGCCAATGCCGTCCATGCAATTCCACTTCTCGAACATCGCCGGTTCCCACTTCGCCAAGCATCAAAACCCACCATCTCCACGCGTAGCTGGGCCCGAGTGGCCAGCCATCCCATCTCTTCCCTCTTGGGACGACATGCCCGCCGCCGGACGGGATGGATTCTCACTGATGCCCCAGCGGATGCCCAGAGATAAGAAATTTTTTATCGGTTTTTTTCCCGTTCTTTGGGATTTTGGCTTCCCACACGTGCGGACTCATCCCCGGTCGGGCTAGCATGCACCTAGGGTTCCCCATCTGGTGGTCTGGTACCGCAGCTCACAGTCTTTGCTCTCATGATTCATAAAGATGGGCCGCCCACCTCCAGGCCTCGGTCGACTCGTAAGGATTTCTCCTTCCTTCACCAATGCTCTTGCGTCCCTCGCTAGGGTTTGGTGAAAGCTTCGGCAACCGCTCATTGCAAACGTGCTTTGTGCGCCGTTAACAACAACATACAACGAACCCTCTTACGTCGACCATCCTCCTCCTCCACTTCAACGACTCTTCAGTCAGTTAAGGGGATATCTGACCAGACTAAATCCCTTCTCCGCCACATCGATCTTCTCACCGATCCAAGGTCAATCACCCCCGATATCTGCCGATTATCTCCATTCGGCTCATCGACATCCTCAACATACCCAAGACCGTCTTTAAAGATTCAGCAGCTCGCCGCAGTACCTTGCAAAGATGGGGAAAGTTGGTGATTGGCTTGATTCGTTCAACCGCAAGGTTGCCACCAGCAAGGTTGGATATTGGTTCAAGCTGGATGGCTCTGGACATGTGAGCGCCGTTTTTGGGAAATGAGTGGCCGCGTGCCTCTTTGCTAAAACGTCGCCAACAGCCCAAAGAAAGGAAGGGATCCTACTTCTTCACCGAGATGCGTGCTGGTCTCGCGACCTTCTTCGCCATGTCGTATGTTTAAACCACCTCACACGATACAAGGTGCGGGTTGTTAACGCTTGTGGCAGGTACATTATTGCCGTCAACGGAAGCATCGTCGCCGACAGTGGAGGAACTTGCGTCTGCACGGCAGATCCCGAGGTTGATAGATGGTGTCTCAATGATCCGACCTATGCTATCTGCAAGGCCGAGGTCAAGAGAGATATCATCACCGCCACCGCTGCCATCGCTGCTTTCGCTACTTTCTTCATGGGTCTTCTCGCCAACTTGTGGGTTTTCGCTCTTGAGATGGATTCAGGTGTTGGTTTGCTGACAATGGAACAGGCCTATTGGACTTGCGCCTGGCATGGGTTTGAACGCCTACTTCTCGTACACCGTCGTCGGATATCACGGACAGGGTCTTGTTCCCTACCAGGTTGCCGTTACTGCCATCTTCGTTGAAGGCTGGGTGTTCTTCGGTCTTGCGCTCCTTGGCATGCGCCAGTGGTTGGCCCGGGCTATCCCTCGGTCCATCAAGCTGGCCACCAGTGTCGGTATTGGCTTTTTCCTGACCCTCATCGGTATGACCTATTCCGAAGGTATTGGTCTCGCGGTCGGCGGTACCACGGTGCCCATCGAGCTTGCTGGTTGCCACCCCGAGTCTCGCGACCCTGTCACAGGTGCCTGCCCGGACAGTGACAAGATGCGCAACCCCAAGATGTGGATCGGCATCTTCTGCGGCGGTGTTCTCACGACCATGCTTCTCATGTATCGCGTCAAGGGTGCCATTATCGCCGGTATCATCCTCGTCTCCGTCATCTCATGGCCGCGCACCACCGAGGTCACCTATTTCCCCTACACCGATGTCGGCAACGATGCCTTCGACTTCTTCAAGAAGGTTGTCGATTTCCATCAGATCAAGCATGTCCTCAACGTTCAGCAATGGGATATTTCGGGACACGGCGGACAGTTCGGTTTGGCGCTCATCACCTTCCTCTACGTCGACATTCTCGATACAACCGGTACCATGTATGCCATGGCTCGCTATGCCAGCCTTGTCGATGAGGAGACTGGTGACTTTGAGGGTTCTACCATTGCGTACGTTTTCATGGTTCTTCCGTTGCGTCTTACTGGCTGATTGCTAACATACGTGTCTACAGTTACATGGTCGACTCCGTCAGTATCGCCATCGGTGCTCTTTTCGGTACTCCCCCCGTCACTGCCTTCGTCGAGTCCGGTGCCGGTATCGGTGAGGGTGGCAAGACTGGTCTTACAGCCATGTCGACTGGCTTCTGCTTCTTCATCGCCATTTTCTTCGCCCCCATCTTTGCTTCGATTCCCCCGTGGGCCACCGGCTGCGTCCTTATCTTGGTCGGCTCTATGATGGTCCGCGCTGTGACGGATATCAACTGGAAGTACATGGGCGACGCCATTCCCGCCTTCGTGTGCATTGCCCTCATGGCCTTCACCTACTCTATTGCCAACGGTCTTATCGCTGGTATCTGCATGTACATGCTCATTAACACCCTCGTCTGGGCCGTCGAGAAGGTTTCCGGAGGTCGCATCGTGCCCCAGAACAAGGAGTTCAAGGACCCCTGGGCCCCGAACTTTGGCAGCATCATCCCAGGCTGGATGATCTGTGTTGCCAAGGGCAAGGCTCCCTGGCATAAAGATGAGCCTGTCAGGTCAATCGAAGGAACCACTGAGCCCGGGCCGGTGCTGGTTGGAGAGAAGGGCGAGAAGGATAGCTCATCTGGCTCAAGACCAGGCTCCGCGACTGAGCTCCCAGCTGAGCCTGTCAACGAAAAGGGCGCCCATCATTGATGATGAACATGAATGAATGGATGATTGGAGACGTTTGGATATGAAAACATGGGATGCAAGCATATGAAGGTTGCGATGGGAGCGTTGGTAACGGTTAATGGATAGGGGGCTGTGAGATAATGGCTGGCGGAAAATGATACGCCCATGATTGCGGTGGAAGATACCAAAGATACCTAATAAACAATTCATGAAAACTCCTGGGTTCCGATTCAGTTACAGTTGTTCCATGGGATTATTTTGGCGTCGACAACTTGGGTGCGGCGAAGACAGGAAATATGACATGATGGCCTCGGAAGGGACAGTCGATTCCAATCCCCTAACCATCGAGACACCACATTTCGGATATTCGCTCCTTCACTTTCGCTCCAATAACCCGTGGCCATAACTCACATGGAAGGGATGTGCTGGTACTACGAGTGAAGATCTGGAAGGCATGTTGCGCAAGATGTACTTGCCTCTACGTGGCAGCCATGTCTACACGTATACGAGGGATCAAAAACGGCAAGAGCCCCGCACCATCAATGTCATTTACGCCCTTTGAGCGACGACTTGTCTGCCTCCTTCCTTGCTTAAAGCGGCAGCCGGCATAAGGGGAATCTACAATACAGAAATCAACGAAATCCCACCCATCCGACGAGATCTGATCTCCCATCCACATGTATAAGATAAGAGTACACCACCCGTCAAGAACTTCACAACCAGACGTTGCTCTCAACCAGAAACTATCCCATCCAACGACGACATTCGAAGCATAATACAACATCACTCTTACAACTTGACAACATATCCTAACAACGAACCGCAACACTCATTCCCCCCACTTAAGATGTCTACCGAAACAGGCAGTAAGGCCACCATCTCTTGCCTTTGCGGTTCCATCCGACAAACTGTAACCCTCTCCCCCGTGGATACCGACATCGTCTTCTGCCACTGTACAGCCTGTCGACACATGAGCGGGCAGCTCTTCACATCATATGTTGCCCTCTCCTCAGCTCCCACTTCCCTCGTCAGCCTGAAGAAATACAACTCAGGCCCGGATCACCCAAATCTTGAAACAACATGTTACTACTTCTGCTCAACATGTGGTTGCCACGTCTTCCAGCGCTCGAGTTATTACTCCGACAGTGATGCCTCCAACGACGATAGCAATGACAAGGAACAATTCGAATGGTCGGTAGCAACAGGCGTCATCACATCATCCGAGAATGACAACCCAAACCACAGAATACAATGGCAGCACCAGAAGGCGGACGACACCAAAGATCTGGGGCTATCTCTCTGGCTTCCATCCGCATCCAACTCCACATCCACATCCACATCCAACATCGGCCAAAAAGCCACCAAAATCCCCGACATCATCACTGTTCCGAACACCCGCAACACAAAGGATCTCAACAACATCTTCCCCGCAGCCTGCCACTGCAAACGCATCTCCTTTCACCTCACCCGCCCCTCTCAAGCCAGCATCCTTCCCCACCGCGGCTACCCAGACGCCATGTACTCGTACGCCGCGGAGCCAGAAAGGCTGACCTCAAATCCTCATGACGAGAAGTGGTGGCTCCGCGGGCCTGAACCACAGTGTACCTCGTCCACCTCCAGCAGAACTCCTCCGCTAGGCGTTGAAAGTATTACCAGTTTCACCCGATACTTCACCGGCGCCTGCGTGTGCAAATCCTGCCGCCTGGCCTCTGGCTTCGAGATTCAGTGCTGGGCATTTGTGCCGAGGTGTAATATCCAGTTTGCCTCCGTTGTTGAAGGTACCCTGGACTTCGATGCCCTCCCCCCGGGCCTTCTCAAGAGGTACGAATCCTCCCCCGGAGTTTGGAGGGAGTTTTGTCCCACCTGCGGAGCCACGGTGTTTTATCACGCGGAGAAGGCGAAGGATGTGATTGATGTCAGTGTTGGTTTGTTTGATGGCGACAGGGGAGCTAGGGCGGAGGATTGGTTAGAATGGGGGAGGGAGAGGGTGTCATATGCTGAAGAAGTCAGGGAGGGAAGGAAGGACGGGATGGCCGACTGGGCGGAGAGGCTTCTAAAAGGGCTTGAGGAGGGCATGAAGGGGTCTTGAGAAGGCTTAGAAGCAGGATGAGGAGAAGTGAGTGAGTAAGTGGGTGTGCTGATGGAGTTGAAGAATCGATGTTGGTTGGAGTTTGGAAATGGTCGGGTTTGTCACGGGAGGCGTGACACATGCCGTCAAGATGCCAGCACCTGCCAGATCCTTGCATTTATCTGATCGTTCTACGCTTTGAACTCTTCAATGCTTGTAATCCTTGCAAGAACCCTTACCCATCCATCCATCCAAGGGTGCTTAGCTTCCTCATTTTTTGTTTCAAAATCTTAATGATTCGTCAGACTTTTGTACGTCATCACTGGATCTACGTGCCGTGAAACAATGAAAGCAAGTGGCAAGTAGACGGTGGCTTTGGTGATCAGGAAGTGCAGTACATAATTCGATTAGACACTATGCTATGTGCTTTGCAAAACTCAGCGCGCGTGGTCCTATTTCCGTTACAGCTCGTTTCCCCCTCCGCCCCCGTGAAATACATATTCTAGTTTTACAAAATCATACAGATGGATTCCCCTTATAAAACCATTACCCTGTTTAAAATACCCCCTTTCCCCCCCTGTATACGCTTTCAAAAGCCAAAAATCACTTCGCTCACGGTCTGGATTACCTACCTAGCTACGCAGTAAATAATACTTCGCAGTAAGTAAGTAAACAGCACCAACAACCACAAACAACAACAAAATCACGCCGGCTTGCAATAGTTCGCCGGAAAACTGCCTCGCTTCCCATTCAACTCGCCAACCCACCAATCCTGATCCGTATTCGTCTTCTTGACAATCTTGATCCTGTCGCCCTCGTTAAACGCCAGATCTCCCGCGCCTTGCCCCGCAAAGGTATACAGCGCAACCACGTACTCAGCCAGCTGCTGGCTCGCGATTCGCTTTGGGGGCGGGGGCGGGGGAGGTCTCTTCTTGGCGACTGCTAAAGCAAAGTAATCGGTTCCATTACCGTTGCCATTGCCGGCACTTCGAGCAGCCTGGGGGCTATGGGCCCGGTTGATCGACATTGATGGAGTCGAAGGCGACCTTGGGAAGGGTCTGTTGTTCTCGAGCGTGGTGCGGTCTACCGGACCTCGCGCCAGGGAACTAGCCTGCGTAAAGTCGGTAGGAGCCAGGTACTCGAGTCTTTTCTGGCCTTGGTTGCCGGAGTAACCGGAATAAGAGGAGGCCGGCGGGCTGGAGGCATAAGAGGACCGGTCTGATGCTGCCGGTGAATGGGGCCGGGAGTGGTAGCCACCTGCAGAGGGGATACGCAAGTTGTTGCGTCCTTGATAGCCGCTGCCGCTGTGGACTGACGCACTGGAACTGGACGGCATTGGTGAAGTGACGCGACGCATGTCGTTCCTCCCGGGAATCATTGCCGAAAGCCTTCGGCCTGGGCCTTCGGGTGCCTGTAGAGCCATGGGTGAATGGGCGGCCTTGCCGCGGGCTACGATGCTGACGGACTCGAAATCATCCCGAGCGGGAACAAAGGCGGCTTCCCATGCTGCCACGACCTCAGACATGGGAGGCGGAGGCGATGGGAACCCGGATTCCATGCAGTAGGCGTGAACAGTCGTATAATATAGTCCCAACAGGCGGTTCTGGATGAGAATCAGGGCTGCTTGCAAGGGGGGTACCAGGCTGAAAGAAGCGTTTATGATGGGTGGCAGGGTCGATTGGAGGTGGTCGTCGGCGATGGCGAATTCCTACTTGCAGTGTTAGCGTGATCGAACACGAAACCGAGTTAGTTGCCTCGAGGGTAAGTCCTTACATCACCTGCTTGGGCCATATCCACCTCAGCCTTTGCCAGAGAAGCTTCCTCCTTCGGAGTCCTTGTATGTTTTTTGTGAAGCTTGCTGACTTTTTCTTGGGCCCTTTCGTAATCCAGCCTCTTGTTCTCTCGTTTCTTGATCGTTTTGCGAATTGGGGCGATACAATCCCGTGCCTCCACAGCCGGCCGAATCACCCGATCTTCGATGGTGCCGATTTCTTCCTCCAGCTCGGACTTGAGTTCGCCATAGGCCTGTTTCAACCTGAATGTCCGCTCGAGTTGTAGCCGGGGGGTAGGGACGGATTCGCGGCCATGGCCATCGGAGGCGCCGACAATCGGATCGTAGAGGCCTTCGAGTTCGACGACAAACTGCAGTTGGTGGTGGACGAGTGAGGCCCAGGCGTCCCTCCAAGCTCTAGAGTTTTCGAGTAACTGGGTCACGAAACAAGTCAGCGACAGCACAAGGGAGACCGGTTGGGCGAGGATGAACGGCAACGGTGGGCTTACCCTTGCGAGAAGCTGGTCCGCATCTTCATATTCCTTCAGTAAAACGGAGACCGAGGCATTGTTGCCGGGGCCTTTGCTTCGAAGCTTTGTGAATTTGCGCTGCACAGACTGCATCTTGGTTGCTGTGTAGTGCGGAAGTAGGCGGGCGACTGGGGCACTTTTTGTTGTTTACCTCGATTGCTGCCGTCTAAGTCCGGGTTGGATGTTCGACAGCCAGACAAGACACCCCTGAAAAGATACAAGGCGAAGCCAATGCTGATCCGCCGATCAATGGGTGATAGATCGAGGCTGTTTGGAGAAGAGGCTTTCGACGTAGCTGTCTTTGTGGGAGGATGAAGTGGATTTGCGATGGAGATGGACGTAGGAAAGAGGTCGTGTCGCGGAAATGTTGATCGCGACCGACAACCCCAGGGTACTGGTAGGTGTTACAGGCAGGACTAGCTTGAATCAAGTAGCAACAACACCACGGTAATGCTTGGCCAGAAAACTCGGTTGATGACTGCATCAGGGTAGCATCGAAGTGAAGGTAAGAGCAAGTGTTGAATTGGGTCGAAAGGCTGTCCCTTTGCCCAGAGGGTAGCTCGGAGCAAGTAAATTAGTAACGAAATTGGACATAGGATAAACAGGAAATTAGGTAGAGGTGACCACCTATGACTAGTCAGTTGTTTATGGAGACTCTCGACTTGTAGGTGACGGCAACGCTTATGGTAGATAGGATAGTATGGGTTTATACGAGCATCTAAAATGCCCAGTCATCCTGTTGCTTGACATTTGACTGAGGTGGTGTGGTCCAACACGAGCTGGCAGAAGAGGGAAAGAGGTACATGAAAGTCTCAACGATGCCGGCCGACGGGCTGCGGAAATGAGGGGGCGCCGCCATACAGTTGCATCGATAGGCTGCATCAAGTCATCAACGTAAAGCGTTGAGACTTCAACACCTTTCCCAACCTCGATGCTGCTTGGCTACCATGCTGTACCGCCGGAGACAACATCAACACAGCCTCTGCTCCTTGGTAACACAAGAACAACGAGAAGATGTGGTGAACTTTTTGGGATAACGCCAACTGGGCCCCAGAATGGGAAAATGACAATGGGCTGCTGCTAGCGTCACTGCCATCATAGCGTGAAACAGGGGTTGCCAGACCGGCATGCGGGGCCTCGTCCCGGCCCTGAACTGTCAGTGGCCCGTTCTTGGCATTGGGTGCCTGGAGGGGGGCAGTTTGCAACACCCGACTGCACCTTCTGCTTCAACAGACGGAAGTGCAGTCACCTGACTGCGCGCTTGAACGCGGCTTCCTTTGCTGAAGCTATCCGTCGTCGCGTCCACCCGCCTTGCCCCTGGAAGCTGCCAGAGGCTAGAGTAGACGACATCTGCCCAAATGACAAAGATCTGAATTCTCTGCGCTTCTCAGACGAGCAGTGTTGTTTCGCTCAACACATTTGGGATTGTCAGTCGGGCCATCCGACACCATTCGATGAACGCCAGACACAATCGGTAATGCGACGATAAGCTATCGGTTCCCCTGCGACATGCCTATTGATAGGCACCATGGCATCCATAGCTTCCTCCGGGCGCTCGGCTGCTGGGGCTAGCGAGACAGGCAGCACTGCTCCGGTGCTCGAATTCCTCTGCCTCTTCACCCACGACTTGAAAAGGAAGCAAAAGAGATGGCAGGATGGCCACCTCAAGTATCACACCTTCAACAAGCGCGTCATGGTCTACGATGACCGCGGAAACTATGTTGGTGATATGCACTGGCGTCGAGATTGGGATTTTGACGAGGGCGAAGAGATCGAGCTGGAAAGGGGCGGCGTCATCGTCCAGGTTGCCGAATGTGTGGCACGTCAGCAACAAGATCTCTCGGAACTGATAGACAAACGGGCGAAGGAGAAGGAGCAGCGCCAGGCACAGATAGCATCACGACCAGCCCGCCCTGTTCCCGCACATACGCCCCTCCGAGTCACTCCCAGGAACAACGCCCAACAGGATCACTTCCAAACTCGACACCGACGCCTGAACCAGCTTCTTGGCACCCCGATAGGCCATCACGGTCGTGCTCTCGTGCCCAACGAATCGCCTTTTGAACAGCGACACAATGTCGAGGAATCCAACGATGGAGCTGACAGTTCTAGGCCATCAAAGAGGAGACGATATGAAGACACACCTCCGAGCAAGATGGGATATGCTCAGAGTTTGTTCGGCGCGCCATTGGTTTTGTCAGGGGCACCTGCGAGCTCGGCACCCTTGCGGCGTCCCGTAGCGTCCAAGGTTCAGAGTAGACGTGAACCCTCTCCACCACAAGAGGTTGAGTCTCGGCAGCTAGAGGAAAGTATCGCGCCCATTCCAACGACTCACACTATGCTCTCCAATCGGACGACAGTCCCAAGAGCCGAGGGCGTGTCACGACCGACACCACCGGTCAAAAAGAACATTCCATCGCCTGAAGAGAGTCTGTTCGTGAGTCAAGAGGACCACTGTGATTCTGCTCAAGGAGGGTTGGATCATGATGACCAGAAACACCAAGCAGCGGACCTTAATACCAGGCCATATGGGCGTTCGAGTTCCTTCGGCGAATCCACTACAACCGAAGCGGCATATAATACCAAGCGCCCACCAGTTGCCAAAGGAAAGGGCATATTGCTCTCGAACAATGGAAAGAGCTCGGCGTTGCTCAACAACAACATGAGTAGTAACTCTACGCGATCTCTTTTGACATCTTCCAAGAAGGTCACACAGCCAATCGTCCTTGACGACGAGGACGACGACGATGATAATGGAATTGAGGGGGGCTCGGATGAACGCAGGAAGGTCTCTCCGCCTCCCAGAACAGTCACTGGGGGCAAATCTAAACGTGCCGCTCCCGTTGCAGAGGAGGCGCAAGGGAACAAACGCAAAAAGACTACATCCACAAAGAAGCCCCTCGTCGACAAGGGACCTGGACAAAAACCACACAACGGATCAGGTTCAGTGATACCTCAAGATGAGCCGATGGCGGAACTCAAGATCAAATCTCGGCAGAGGCGTGGTTTATTGGTATTGTCGGAGAAACCAAAGAGAGCAAAACGTCCACCAAAAAGCCCTAGTGATGAATTTACAACTGGGTCCGTGGAGGAGCGTACAAGTGCTAAGATCGTGGACGAATCCGACAACTTGACTTTTGATCAACCAGAGACCTGTCCAACTGTTCCCGATGACTCGGATGATGACCCTTTTGCTTCTCCAATGCCTGTCATCGACGGCATTTTGTCACAAAAGGGCAAATCCCAAGCTAGGGATCGAACTGAAGGTTTTTCAAAGTCAGAAAGACATCAGCCCGTCGCGAATCAAGGTCTAGGCGGAGCTTCCGCTGCCGCCACGGATTCACGGACAAGCCCAGCAAGGAAGAAGCGGCAACAGAATGGCCAAGATTTAGTGAGCGCCTCCGACTCCAGCTCAACATCACACAGTCTGCAAGTTGCCCAGAAAAGAGAGAAAACCCAGAAGAAGCGAGTCAAGGCCAAAAAGAGCTCTGTACCTCCCGAACCCGAGAACAACGTACGGGTCGAAGTAGAGAGGGAAAGGGAAGATGAGGAGATATTGAGATACCCACGGAGGCGTAGAACCGCTCGAAGACCAGCGTTGCTGGAGATCAGCGATGAGACCACAAGTCACAAGTCTGACTCGGCTGAAGCCAGCACCGATGAAGAGCTACCTCAAGTTCCCGTTGGTCCACGCTTAGCCAAACTCGCCAGGAAAGGCATCAAGAGCAGAGAGGTTATTGGGTTCGTTCCATCTAGCTCTCCGATCATCAGCATGTACGAACAAGCCGAGCCAGTCCCTAGCCATCCGACAGGAGAGTCTCGCTCAGTGGCTGAGGAAAGCCCAACTACGTATAACAACACGAAAGATCACGTTACGCCAAAGAGCGCGAATGTAACCATGGCCGAAGACAACGCAGAGCGCGCTGAGAAGACCACATCGACGTTGCCGCTCCCTGCTTCCGAAAATGGGGTTGATGACGCTTCCCCAAAACAACCCAAAGGGGTTTCCGAACAGATCTCACCGGCAGCGACGAGTAGCGGCAGCAACAACGTCACTGATGGAGACGACCCCGCGGCATCAATCACGGATAAACAACCGCCTGGCAACGAATTAAACGATCACAGCACCAACGACGTCGCCAAAGGAAGTGGCAACGTCTCGGCCAATATTGCGGCATCAGCCACAGTCCGTAATCACAAACCACAGCCGGTCCAACAGATCAAGGAACCCCCATTACCTGTGCCAGATCAGGCAGGCCGTAGTGACGGGTCAGGAACCAAGGAACCTCAAGCGAAGGGCGATACGGCAATGTCACCATTACACAACTCTCTTGTGGAGGACAAATGCCAAACTGGTATTGCCGATAGTGTTCCGGTTCCACTAGATGCTCCTGCAAAACCAACACCACCCGTAGACAACTCATCCAACCAAGTCGTCTCAGCGCGGATCATAAATCCGGCTACAAGGGGTCGCAAAGCAGCACTGAAATCTCATGCAAAAGGCCAGGTACCGCAGTCTATTCTACCGGCTGAGCCCCCTCCAGAGCGTATAGTGCCACGAACCCGCGAGTTATTGAGACGTGAAGCCGCTGGGTCCGGCCCTGAAGAACGGCCAAGGAGGAAGATGACCTTTCCAGGCTTCACTTCTGCTCGACAAGGCGGTCCCTGGAGCAGAGAGGCACATGACCTGTTGGAAACAGGGCGGCCGGCTTGAAGCTACATCCTCTTTTTCTGGCGTGAAGCCTGCGTTAAGCTTGGTTCCATGTGGACAGGCTGTATTGTTATCGTTGAGGCCACTTAGATGCCTCCACCCTTTGAGACGCAGGAAGCATGTAGTTGGTCGACGCCACCTGTGCGTAGGTATGGACGATTATCCGCGGCTGGCACGGCAATATCATTCAATGGCGAGGAACAAGGACATGTTCGTGCAATATTGATATTTGTGCCTTATTATTGATACCATTTCCCCTTCAAATCGTGCAAAGTCACAAGACAAGATATGCATCCCAGTTGACCCTTTCATGAAGCTTAACGAGGTGGCAGAAATTGTAGTTAGGGCCTCCCCAGTTGGTTGCCGGTACCTGAACTGTCCTTCCTTTAGTAACCAACCAATCCACGCGACGGCGTATGTCCTACTCCAGAAAAGGGCACATATGCGGCCAATACGAAAACCATTCAACAATCTACAAAAGGAAGATGGATATAACTTCACCGACGAATTTTCAAAAAGCATTGTCGTGTATGTTGGATCCAAGCTCGCTAGTGACGCGTTTCTGTCACCAGGTACCCGGAAGGATCCGGCATTCAGGAACAGGGCTTGCGATATCACTAAAGCGTCCAGGTGACACCCTATTGTAACCTCTTGGCAAAGAGTGCCTCTGAAGAAGTCAACTGAAACGTGGGGCGTGCTTACTTCCTTCTCTCGACCTTCTTTCGCCTCGCCCTCTGCTCTCCGCATATTCAACGCGTGAGGACGGCGATGGCGTTCATCTGACAATCCCAAAGACCAACGGCAAACCTACCCGTACCTACCACTCGAGTCGGGGTACGACAGCAGCTTGAGCTTCGAAAAGTAGCCGGGCGACCCCCACAGCTGAGCTTGAAATAAAGTAGTTCATCGCTACCTCGCCAGGTCCCGCCGCCTACGCCTCACGGCGATTTGCAAACCAATCCGACTTGTTCCATGAGCGATCAAGAAATGTCTCATGAACGGCCTGGTTTACCCGTCGGATATTTGCTTGCCATGAGGAACCAGGGCACTGCCTTCCTTGTAGGCCTCGGCCGGCCGACGTTCACGAGGAATACAACAGGGGCAATCACCATATGAGGCTAATGCGAACAGCCAAGAAGCCGTTCCATCCTCAGCTTGCCTGGCAACTGAGTCTATGGGACATCCAGGCATGGTTGTGTCAGATTCTGTCATTATACATGAAAAAGTCGCCTTGGTTTGCAAACAATCCTTTGGCCTCACTTCCGGGATGGATACTGGCCTCTTTTGGTGCGCGCTTTACTAACCATATACATCAAGGAAGCACATGGATGGTGAGGGCCTCTTGTCAAGTGTGCCGGGCACTTGAAAAATGGCAAAGAGGCGCAGGAAATCATTTTGCGTCAATTGGAAGGGCTGCCCAGATCCCAATTGGGTAGAATGAGGCTCGAAGCTTAACACCCTACCAACAGGGCCTCAATTTGAGGTATCGACAACGACTATAATATCAAGGGACATTATCCCACATTTTCAATCCAGAGCTATGCGTCTCTCTCATTCTTCTTCATTCCACATACCTTCCATTGCTAGGAGTCGACTTTGGCCATTTCCTTTGTGTCTGTCGCAGTCGCGCGCTTCACGGACAACAGGTTGGTTTCTGCCTGAGGGTCTGCCTAGCCCCTCCCCCTGCTTGTTTCGTGTACTGTACGTACTCTCACCAGAAAAAGCTCCCACCAGGCTATCGAGGAGGCGCAAGTCTATCCATTTGTTGGCACATTTCTTCCCCAAGATTTTATTTTTTGTTTTCTTCCTTTTACAAAGACCATTCTCGACTTCTCTATTGAATCTTTGTCTCCAAATTCGATTTCGCTTCTCGTGGCTCGCTGCCCCCAAGACTTTTACCCTCTACTGTGTACAAGTAGCATCAGGCGGGGGACACTTGCGTGTCGCAGCCTTGTGCACTCACGCCTCCTTCAATTCCTTACCTATCTATATCAACCTTTTGCCCTTCCACCCAGTTACCCGATACAACTTATCGATCCTGTTTTGTCATCTCTATCTCAACCGGTCTCAACAACAGAACAAAGACAAAGTAGAACTCATCAGTGCCATGTCCAGGCCCGGTCCTACCAAGCCTGTTCAGGGCGCTGACGGATCACGAAAACCTCGCCAGTGCCCAGAAGCACAAACGCTCTACAACCAGATGCGGGATGTTGAGGAAGAATCCAAGCGTCCTCGGCGTTTCAACGAAGCTCTACGGCAGCAAGAACGAGGCAGACAGAACGGCCCCGGTTACAGCTCCTACCTGGACATTCCCCGAACAACCTATAGACGAAATAGATCTCGTACTGGTTCAATCGGTAGTGCCGGCCCAGCGTCGACACAAGGCTCGGATGGAGGAGTTGAAGAAAGCGGGCGAAAAAGGCGAGGCTGTCGCAACAAACCTTTGGATGAGGCTCAGAGGTTGAGAACGGCATTTGTTCGAACATATGTTCATGCTTGCGGAGAGTGTCGCCAGCGTAAAGTAAAGGTAGGTTGTCACATATACCAGACAAAACCATAGTGGATAGCATAGATTGGCTAACTCTTGCTTTCCTGAATCGACAGTGTACTCACTTCGATAATAGCGAGCTCGAAGCCAACTACCAGGCATTCAAACAGTCAAGGCACACAGGGATAGTCCAATGTCACCATCTCCAGATTCCCAGTAGTCCGGCGGTGTCATATTCTCGAGGGCAATGTCCAAACGACATGGAACTATTCGGAGTCGGTAGCCATACACACGGGTGTCCTAATCAGCCGATTGTTAACGACCATGAACATGAACATCGCGACGACGATATCGTGCTTGACAGTCCATCAACAATGGTCGATACCTCTAGGGGAGATCTCTTCCTGTCCATGCAAGCCGCTCCGATCAACATCAATCCAGCCTACAGTTCAGCCTATAGCCCAACATATATTGCCCCTATTGGCTTTGATGATTTATATACACCATTCCACAACCTTTATCCCGGTTCTCCGATGCTGTCCTCACCAGGTTCTTCAGTTGGTGATGAAGAGAAACCACTTGGCTTACTTGCCAACGGTACCATCTGGGAGTGCAAACGAGGAGCCATCGATCCATGGACACTGGCGCGCACTGACAACGGACCGCATGAATGCCACGCACGCTTCCAAAATCTTAATTCCCTTCTGAACCACTACAGAACTCAACACGAGCCCTTCTTCAACGACAGAATGGTCCATAGATGTAGCTGTTGCGGCTCTTTTGCAGGACCTTACGACCAGAGCTGCACGAAGTGTACAATTGACGCTTGTTTAACTTGCACTGCTACTTGGCCGCTTGCCTCATGGTATTATGGTACCATGATGCCTCCTGCTCCCAGTTTGATCTCTGGCACATCGACGATCCACACCGGACAAGGCTTTCGAAACGGAAACGGGCTGCTGAGTCTTCCATCATATTTCGGAGGATCTAACTCTTACAGCACCGGCCCTGACGGATCCAATGCCTACGGATCCAACTCCTTCGGCATATACGGCGGTAGCAGCTACGCCGGCTCCACGAGTGGCCAGACTTTTGGAACGACATCCAAAGGAACTGCTGAGACACGGCGGTTTGAACACTATGCTCCTCTACAGCACCAAGTATCCTCAAACCACGATCCCCTTCGTCATCATCACGACGAGAACTCGATCTCCGTCAAACCAACAAGGGAGGACCGCCCAAGGGAACCCCCAAGGGAACCCCCAAGGGAACCCCCTAGTGACTACCACCACTTTCCAAGAAAGTCACCAAAATGCTCCGCTCCCCCAACGACGTTTTCCCTCATGGTCAAGTCAGCAAATTCATTGAAGCTTAACGCCCCTTGCCTTACCTTGACACATTATCTGATCCTGTTGCTTTTGTTTTCCTTTCCCTCAAGGTCTTCAGACGTGGATAACACCGCCTCGTCATCTCTGATCAAAGAGGTTGTGCGGTCCATGGGCCACTACATGCCGCTGGTATCGGCTTTGTGTATTGCTGTGGGGGTACTCGGGATGTGGGTTTATCGATTCGGATCTGAAGCTGTCGAAGAGACTACCAGCAAGGTTGTCGGTGATGGAAGGCGCAGCAGTCTGTTGTCAATGTCCTTGGTCGCCTAACGAACGTTTGATATCGAAGCTTTCCATCTCCTCGACTACGGACTCTTAACGCTTTTTTCCACTTTTCCTCGCTCGGTTCTGTTCGGCGTAGGGTCTACCAGGGTCTATTAGGGTTGGTCTGCTTTGGGCGGTTTGCTTGTAATGATTTGATAACATGATGACGGGTAGGCTTTCCATGGAGGAAAGGGAGCAGCAACGCCATTCACGGGGACTTTTTACACTATATATACTCTGTTCCCATAGACATACTTAATAAGACCATGGCCAATACTTGACCATCTCTACACTAGCTCTACCACCTGGAGGCGTTGCTAAGGCCGCCCATATGCTGCCCTGGTGAACTAAGTTAAATGCCTTGGAGGCGAGGCCCAGGCAGGGCAGTGAGTACCAATATCATACAACGCATAGCCTACATTAGCGGCCAAGGAGAACGGTTTTGGTGTTGCAGGTAAGAAAGCCACTACCAGGCTGGTAACGAAGCTTTGTAGTTGGTGGCAGTGGTCGCCGCCACTATCATCAGGGGCAAGTGCAGTGCAGTGGCTCAAATTGGGCACGAGAACTTAACTCAATTTTCGCGGCTTGCCGTTCCCTGATGTAATGGAGTACTATTGAAGAGTCATACACAGCCACCACTATCATCTCTACGGTGTGGGAGAGTGTATGCATGCGAGTGTACGGACACAGCCCTGACAGCCCGCCCAAATTCCCATCTCCCATTTCCCATGGCGTCGTCGCATTGACGGAAATCGCAGGTTGCACAGACTGCGGCGGCAATTGCCGGCAATGGATGCTGAAGAGTCATCCATCGTTTTTGTTTCAAGCTTTCTTTTTCTGTCCAACCTTATCCGAGCAGTGAGAGAGCGGAATTGTCTGGTCTGGTTGGCTGGTTCACATTGGGAGTTGTTCAGTTTGCCGTTGACGTACGAAGACGGAAACAAAAAGAGGAAGGATGGCTCAGTGCAGGGATTGGGGATTGACTCAATCCGCGGCTTCCATCCATGCGCCCTGGCGGACCCTTGCTCGAAAAGAACCCAGCATTGGAAAACTGAGAGAATCGACCAATCATATTTACAGAAACTCAGAAGTATGGAGCAAAGCCTGGCTTAGCGCTGGCACCCCACCCTATCCACTTTCTCCACGAAAGAATGGAAGGGACGAACAAGTGCGGGTCCACTGAGTCGAAATGAGATGGAAGTCAACCTCGAGAGATGCCCTGCCAGGCTGACGGGCTGCCTGATCTGAAGCCTCGAAATTCCATCAAGGACACGAACTTGACCGAAGAATTGAGATAGGCATAAAGCTGTGTTAGTATAATTGAAGGTAAGGTCAGGGACAAATCTGTCGTCAATGGGATGATGTCCTGCCATGTTCTTCCATCTCGTCGTTAACATTATCAGACGAAAGGTAATTAAGGAAAGGTGAAGACGGGAGCTCTGCTGGGTTTCCAAACACCAAGATGTCTTCTCACAGCATCATCATCACAACCAGATGCTCTTTGAGATCCGACTTTTCCGACCTTAGTAAAAGGTTGATTGACTCATACGCACATGCATATCTCATTGAACCCACATTCTTTAGGCATACATTCTTTTGATCGAGACTGGCAAACTGCCTGCCCGGCTTTGCGGTACAACACACATTGTAAGACGAATGCGACGAATGAGAAACGTCAGTGCCGGGCATCTTCTGTCTCTCACCTCACTTTCTTCTCAGCAAGGCCGCCGAATCGCCAGCCCTCTGCAACTTCTGAAGGGTTGCGTCGAGTGGATCAAGCCAGCGTCGCACCCACCTAGAATCGCTCGCCGTGCTCAACCATGCAGGCCGCTGCCTCACCCCCTTGCTGGGTCGACGGAACGTCCGCTGGTGGAATATTCTGTAGAACTGGTGTGGCCAGACATAACATCACCACTCAACATGTGGCCAAGAGGTCAATTCACTACGGGAAGAAATCAGTACGTATTCTACGGTGTCTTCAAGATTATTGTCTTTTCGCAATTCTTAAGAAGAGTCACTTCATGGTTTTCGTCAAGGGAGGACCGCCCTCTTATACTGAACGCAGCTGCGATGCGGCTCACACTTACAAGAAAAGAGGCCGAAGAAGTACCCGTTCAAACTGCGTTAATCCCAAATAGGCTCGCCGTGAGTTCAAAATACACTAGTCCTAATTAAGCCCGTGTCTTCTCTCCCACTGCGCCTCTCACCCGTCTAACTACTGGTCAAAGATTCCGCTTCTTGCTGCTTTCCCATTGTTGGTCCAAGTGAAATATCGGCGTTGACTCCCATCGGCCTACTGCTTCTTGCTCTTCCCTTTTCCTCCTTTTTCCATCGAAATCGAATTGAGAGAACAACCAGTCACTCCGGCTTCCCAATCACAGGTGCCCCTGACAAGACATCGTCCCCTTTCGTCTTTCGACACTCGACTGAAGTGTCCCGTGCACAAGCAGCCGTGTTAACCACCCTGGTGGACAAACCACAAGGCAGTCGTCGCAGCAGTTCGAGGAGCATCCCCGTCGCCGTCAAGCAACACGGAGATCTCCCTACTGCCCTGCCGTTACCCCACCAATCTTAAGTTACCGCAACCCACGACAAGCAAGCAAACCCATCGGTATCGCTTAGCCAACAACAACAACAACAACAACTTTGATTCAACCACATCAATCCAAGCTTTCCAGAATCTGGCACAGATTGCCACATCGGAACCATCGCGAAAGAGAGCCACTCGGCTTGGCCCACCCTGGAGCAGTCACGAGACTTTGCTTACCTTAACTCCGACACATTGTCATCAACAATTATCCCCGATACCCCCGAGACTCTGGCTCAAATGACTGGCATGTCTCGAACCAATTCGGCCAACGCCTTCATGGAGGGCTTCTCGGTCTGCCAGGCCAACCTCGGTGAGGCCCTCACCTGGCTCCCTGCCATGGGCACCCCCGAGCTCGACGAGATGATCAACGCCTTCATCCCTGGTCCTGCATCCATCAAGGACAAGCGCGCCCACATCTCCATGGACTTCCTCAGCTACTCGCAACGCACCGGGTTCAACTTCAAGTTCTACCCCGTCCCCTCCACCTCCTTTGCTACCGTCAGCACTGCTTCTCCAGCAAGCTCTTCGCAGTTTGTCGACTCTGGCTACGCATCCAGCTTCAACGTCTCCCCAGTCATCTCCGACTCGAACGCGTGGACCCAGTCCCCGGCCTCTTTTGCTTCCCCAGCCTCCTTCGACGATGCTACCAGGATAGCCAAGGCCACCAAGAAGTCGACTGTTCCTAGCTCCCGCCAGCAGCCCGTCGACTTTGCCCATCACCCTGGCATGCGGATCATGACCAAGGATGGCCGAGATGTCACCAACTCTGCCTCCCGGGGATGCAAGACCAAGGAGCAGAGGGACCATGCCCACCTCATGCGCATCATCAAGGCTTGCGATGCGTGCCGGAAGAGGAAGGTCCGCTGCGATCCCAGCCACAAGAAGCGGGCTGCCACGCACACATCTCCCGCTGCGACCGAGTCGAAGCCCACTAAGAAGCAAAAGAAGGAGACAGCAGAAGCACCGCCGCCTGCTCCAGTCGTTTTCGAGGCTACTGCCGAGTTGCTCATCGCCGATTCCTTCGAGAACTTTGATGCCGCCGCATTTGCCATGCCCTCTGTTGAAGGAACCGAGACCGTCGATGACCTCTTCTGGAACCAGTACTTCAACTTTGACCAGGATGCCTTCCCGACTTTGCTCCTGCCACCTTCGACCAGTTCGCTCCTTCCCAGGAGCTCTTCTACCAGAGCACCAGCTCCTCCTCCGCCACCTCTCCGTCGCAGGCATTCACTCCGGAGACCCCGGCACACACTCGCCCTTCGCCGGCAATTCCCACCGAGACGGTACTTTCGACCGCCACTCCGGCTCTGCCCTACCTAAACCCGGGCGTTCCTCATGGCACCGAGTATGTCGACTTCAACCTCTACTCACCGCCTGCCGACTTCTCTCTCGACGAGGAGCTCCTTGGCCTCGGCCACCAGCAGTCATATGCAACTTTCAACGCTGGATACACCGATCAACAATACTTCGGCCATGCCAGCGTCCTTGCCCACAGGACCGAGTCACGCTCCAGTCCATCTTCGCCCTCCGTATCCTCCGGAGTGATAACAAGTCATCAACGACTACCACTTGAGGTATATGGCGGACTCCATGGAAGCGGAGACCTACAGACCTCGAGCAACGTCTCGCCAGCTGTACAGACCCCTGGTCAAACGACTGTACCACAACAGCAGCGCCGTCCCCAACTCGCATCACGCGATGAGAGCAGGGTAATCCTACAGGCATCAGATCAACTACCTGTTGTGACTGGCTCAGGAACGCTACCAACTCCAGCTTCTCCAGGCTCGCAACGCCCTGCCTCCCCGGCGCTCAATGTTCAGCATGCACCTCATGACGTAAATCACAACACATCTGTGATGAACTTCGGCAGGAGGCCCCTACAACAGTCACCAATTGCATCTTCCGCATCTGTGACTACCGCTGTACTTGTCACCATTCAACACGCATCATCTGTTGAACAACAGTCTCGCGCCGAGACGGCGACAAGGTCTTCAAGGTTGAGGTATCCAGCCAAATCCAACAGCTCTATCTATCAAAGACAGAAACTGGGGCTTGCTGGTCTCCCGGTAGACCTCCAGACAACTTCCCGAGATGTCAGCAGCTGCGGCATTTGTCACAGCTCTGCTGCCCCCAACTCGACCCTCCTAAGGACGACAACGACATCCTCGTCACGGTCGTCCACAACCACCACCACCATCCTGCCAGGCCGACGAGAAAGCGGCGACGGAGAAGGATTCGCGAAGATGGGACAAAAGCTTGCTTCGAGCTACAGCGCCTCCGCGTCATCTTACACTCAATCCTCCTCCTTCCCGCTGGTCGTGCTTGGTCTCGTCTCTTGTCTCGTGGTAACGGCTTTGCGGTCATACTGCAGTAAAGACAACTTACTCAACACGCTGTTCATTGCGGGCATATCATTGTTCTCACTCTGGCAACGACAATCATCATCATCATCATCTCGGTCGTCAGTCCTAAACACCGACGTCGAAACCGACACCGACACCACAACGTGTTCCTCATCAGTCCAAGAAGGACTCGTCTCCTCACTCTCGCGACACGCGCAGATGCTTGTTGCGAGGAATTCGTCCCTTGTTCGGATGGTGTCCGGATCACGATCGATCATGGTCTAATTTGACTCCGGCCAAGGCCTGGAGTTTTGGACAAAAAATAAGATTGATCTGATCTGATCTAGCCGGATTTGATTGTTGCCAATTGTCGAGATTTCTTTTACGGCATGCAAAAAGCATATGATTCAGTTTGTTTATTTGTCTGTTGTTCATTAGCGGTGTGCAGCGTTTGCGTTTTTCTTACCACGATACCCCAGACTAAGAAAGTCTGTTTTGGTTTCTTTCTTTTCTGAGCTCGAGACATGTTGTCGTTTTCTGTTGTCTCCGCATCTCCCTTGTGGGGATTGGAGTGGGAGAGGGCGATGATGCTTTTTCATGGCGGCTTGCGAAGCGAGTTTGACTTGGGTTGATGGGAACGGCCTGACAGGGTCGGATGAGATGGGAAGGGAAAAGGGACATCTTCCATCCTGTGATGGTTTCATTTCCACACGGGTGTAGAATAGTAGATAGTATGTGGCAGTGTTGTTGGCTCTCACTCTCCTCGATCTGGGATGACTTACGATCATAGTCATCAGTCAATTCATCAATACAAGTCGGTCTCCTTTGGAGGCCGTCGTAAATTATAACCTTTGCTCTTCCTCTCGTACAGTGAACTGTGATATTTGGGCTTTATGAAATATGCTTCGCAAGAGTGGCTTTGTCTTTTATGTAACATTTGACACGAACACATCGCATTTCATATGATACCCATCCTATCGTGACACCCCAGAAGGCACAGGAGACCCAGTCTTGCGGCAACTAAGTCCCATTTGTTCCATGGAGTGATGGTTTTTTACCATCTCGACTAAACATTAAACATTGCCTCCGGGGGAAAGCAACGAAGCCACCAATATGAAGCGCTTTGTTGGGTCAATTCTTTAAAAACATAGATATTGCCGTTAAGTGCAGAAGAAAAGTTATAAAAGCGGCTATTCACGCTAGATTTGAAATAATTCAAATATTAAATAAGTATGTTAATTGATAAGGAAATTAAAGGCATTAAATAACAAAATCAATAATTATAAAATGTAAAAATAAAGACAAAAGTTTACAAATTTGAATTTAAATGTTACAATTAATTATATTTATTGTCATGGCTTGGCGTTATACCTTCTGATTGGCTGCATTACCTACATGCCTCATTTGTTGCATTTACCTGTCGGACTCACTTCCTATTTCATTCTTGTGTTTAGTCGTGCCAGCCAGACTCGCACTTCCTCCTCTTCTCTTTTACTCTCCATAGTTAATTATTTATTACATTCGTTAGGTTATTCGTGCGCACTGCCCTCAAGACCTACGTGCCGTGACATTTATGATGCATTTAATAGGGGCGTCCGCGGGGAGAATAAGAATCAAATTCTCTCGTTTCTCAATCTACGTTCCTCCACCTTGTGAACACGTATCTTTTCCAGAATCTTCGAGTCTGAGGGATGCGAAGGATGAGCCGCCAACGGGGTATGGTCCCAAACCCACTCCCTCTTTTCCTCGATCTCGAGCGGCTGCGAGTAACGCAAGCTGACCAAGCTGCCGCGCAAGCAAACCATCCATACGGCTTCCTCCGGCGGACCACCATAATACGGCCTCTCACGTGAGACAATCCTCGCTTTGAAAATATCATCGCGCAAGCCCATAAGCCAGGGATGAACAACTGCCGCCCGAGGTCACAGTTAGCAAAGCCGAAGCCGACAGTTGGTTGGAAGAGACACGATTATCCACTAAGGTAGTTGCCGCTGACAAAGTCACGCACCGTGACGAAACCTTGGCCACTGCCAGCCGTGACCACCAATCTCGGGTCTTGGTTCCGAAGCGGTCTGTCCTCTCCATAGCATTTGATGAGAATCTCCTCGCCCGAGTCCTCCGTCCAGCTGCCGTCCTCCTTTTGCACATCCCACTTGCGTCGGACGTCGTCGTCAAGATCTCCATACTTGATCCGCTCTTGTTGGCCGCGGATGGGTGCAGGGCCATCACCTCCATGATGCTCGAGGTGCTCCGCACCGACCGACTCGAAGCTTGCGACATGGTGGTACTCATGCCACTCGGCCCAATCGCGCTCCCATTGTTCGCCTTGAGGTCAAAAACTGAAACCTCAAGAGACGAGGTCTTTGGTTCAGTGAGGGGCTGCTGCGCGACCTCGTGCCACGTGCCGATGTCTGGATTGAAAAATGGTTCCAGATCGTCATGTGCACTCTTCTTATTCTTCATGACGGAAATGGCGGTAGGGAAGACACCGTCGAACTGCTAATAGAGTCGCTGGGCGGCGGGAGTGTAGATGATGGGCCTAACTCCGGCGTCTATGAGCTCTTTGAGCGAGGGGAAGAGACGCTCTTCCGAAGATTTGGATGGTCCATGGTTAGGTGTATGGGATGATTGAGGTTGCGTTGCTGGGTAAAGTGGGTTTAGACTGGGAAGAGTTAGTAATTGGGTCGGTGACGACCAGCGAATCCCAGGTGTTGTATGTTTTTTGTTGTTTTGTCATATTTCCCTCTCTTTTTGGTTCTTCTTTCTAGAAGATTTGCTTTTTGTCAACTTTGCTCTCATGTGAAGATTTGTGACGGCGGATGTTGACGCACTCGGACAGAGTGTTGCGCGGGGTGTTGCCCGTGGTCGGTTTTGACTGGGCTGTAGCCGCTGATACCTGATAAGGAATCGCCTGCAAATCTCACCAAGTAAACGCACAGACATGCAATTATGCAAACTAAAGCATACCCGTAACGTCAAACCCGACACCAGACAAAGGAAAGTGGAGTCACTTCATCCTTCCATTCAAGGTCTAGCCCAACAAAAGTCTGCAGCACATGCAAAGGTACAACATGAACAAGGGCAACACAAGTTTGATGTTGGTCCCGTCGTGGCCACCTTGCCTGTCTGGTTTCGAAACGTCTTTACCATTTTCCGTTGCGAATGAGGATATCTCATCTTTATTTGGCAGCATTGATTGCGGCTCTCTCCCCCGATCTTTTTTTGGGCGTTTTGTGGCGTATAAGCGCGACATCAGTACCGACCTCGCCTTTGACTTAGGCGCGGCTTTGATAGTTACCAATTTTGCAGTAAAGGTTGGTTCAATCTCGTTCGCTTTTTTTTTTTTTTTTTCGTTTTCTATTTTCCTTCCCGCCGTGCATCCTGCATTCTGCAAAGCAAATACGGAGACGTGTTCCTGCAGTGAGTATTGGAGAGGGTCTTCTTTACCTATATCGTGCGAGAGTGAGCAAGCAGATGTAGTAAAAGAGGTCAGAATCAGATACATCCGGTCAAAGTGGGCCTTTTCTTGAAACTCGAAAAGTTTCTCGCTCACCAATCCTTGTCATTTCTGTCTCTCATTTTTTTGCTATGCATGAGTGAGCGCAAAAACCAGAACTAACAACACCAAACGGCTTGCAGAGTGTTGTCGACGACACATCACGACTTATTTGGACGGATCAGAGCCGTTCTGTTATGTTGGTGGCCGCAATTCGCCCGCTTACATACATACATACATACCAGGCAGACATACACTACTTCCACCAAGACGGGACGGAAGGAAAAAGTCAGTCGTCCAAAGTTCCAACATCGTTGGCATCACACAGACACCCATACGGCGTAACGAAGTCCGGGCCCGGAACCGCAATATTGAAGATTGGGTTTGACCGACGGGAATCGGAGAGTTTGAAGAAGGGTTTCCTTACCCGAGAAGCCGAAAAGGTGTCCATCCGTTCGTTCGTTCGACCAGGTCGCTCCTTCCAGTCAGCAGTCGCTGCACCATCATCATTACCTACCAACACACCCACTCACGTGGCCGAGGGAAGCAGTGCCGACTAAGTAGCTGCTGCATTTCCAACAGAACATCCTCTTGCTCTTGGAAAAGCAGTCGTCAGAGCAAGGTGACAGCCCGTCATTTGTGCAAACCTGGAAGCAGCAGTATCACTAGCATTACTGCTGTTGAGGCAAACTTTGTTGTTTTACGCATCAAGTTTGGACCGAAGTATCACCAGATCCGTGGCGTCACTTGGTGCTCAACAGGTTTGCCCTGATCCATCTATCTTTAACGACCGACATCGTTATTACAAGGAGGAAGGAAACAAAAGCGTTAGGTGGAAAACACGTCGAGAGAGAAAATTCAAGGACTTGCAAGGACCCCTCGGCAGGCGAGACCTAGGGAAAAGACGCAAAGGAAGGAAGGAAGGACTGAAGGAGACTGAGCGTGCCAATAAGTGGAAGGAACAACTGCTGGGAAGGAAAACTCAGCTTGCGCCTTTGTTATTTTTGGTCAGGCCACTGTCAACGGGGAAGTGGTTTGCTCCAGGAACCGTCTCACTGCAAGGCATAAAACGGAAAGAAAGAAGGTCGATTGCGACTGCAGCCGTTGTTGTTTTGCGATTGCTGCTTCCACCTTCCAGGATGGCATATACTTTCCTGGACGCGGTCGCGGCCACTGGCCAGCGCATTTCCGCTTTTTTCCAGACTCTCACCATTTTCCTCCTCGACCATACTCTCCGCCCGGCCTTCAGTTTGTTCTCAGGCAGCTTGAACATCCCTCTGCTTGAGGGGCCCCCACCTCAGCAAACTGCCGCCGGCGAAGAGCAACAAGAACAACACCCGTCTACCGAACTTGACCAATCCGCACAACAACCACCTCAACAACATCAACTTGACGTCCAATCTCAGAATTCTGTCACTACCACCACTCCCGCAATTACATCTCAATCGCAATCCACGGATCAATCTGAAGACGGCTTCATTGCCAATTCTAACGCTCTTCCGCAACCTTCCTTCTTGTCGCTTACGCCCGACCAAGCAAACAGCTCGAAGCTGCCCGACACGGAACCCGACATGGTCCGCACGTCATCGGCCACGGCCACGCTGGCACCAGAGCAGCAGCCGCTCAAGAAGATCCCCGTTCCCAACGTCGTTCCCGCCCTACCCCTAGTTGCCTCTGCCAAGGAGAATGCGACCCCTGTCAAGGTCGGCTCTGCCGTCGCCGCCCCCGCCGCCGATTCTGACAACAATAACCTCTCCGGAGATTTGGACCGTCTAAGCATTGCGACTAACGCCGCTGCTGTCGCCGCAACCGGTACCGCTGATTCCAGTAATCGGGTCACTCTGCAACCATTGGAGATTCCCCATGATAATAATACTACGCCTGCCGTGGCCGCTGACGGTGCCAATGATGCGGAACCTCGCCAACTTCTCAGGGCCAACGTGCTTCATGGCCACGGCCCTAGCACCAGTGTCGGTTGGAATATCGTCGACTCGCTTCCCAGGGCCCCGGTCGTCCGCTCCCCCGCTGTTCCTATCAACCATGAGCTCTCGCAGACTAGTCAGCTGAAGGAGGGCTTCACTGATAGCGCAACCCAACTCGAAGATGATCTTGAGACGCCTGAGGAGGCTGCGGAAAGGGCTATGCACGCTGGGTTCATGAGGGAGGCTTTGGATATGGTATGTTACCATGCTGCTTGACAACCCTCGCGTTTGTATGTGTATCGGTTGCTAATGGATTGCGATTGTAGGCCCGACTCGCCCTCAAGACCAACGAGACGCCCGTCGGTTGTGTTCTTGTTTACAAGGACCGAGTCATCGCCAGGGGCATGAACGCAACCAACGTCAGCCGCAACGGCACTCGACATGCCGAACTCATGGCCATTTGCGCCCTGCTGTCCTATTCCGGCGACGCTGATCTTGAGCCTAAGAACGCGCAACACCAGTGCAACCACGATGAGCCTAGTTTTTGGGGCGACGTCGACCCCCGTGACGGCCACCTCTTCCCCTACGGTCAGAAGCTCCATCCCGCTCCCCGTGTCGACCGATCCGTTGTTTCTGAATGCACCCTTTACGTTACCGTCGAGCCTTGCGTCATGTGCGCCTCGCTTCTTCGCCAGCTCCGCATCAAGAAGGTCTACTTTGGTGCTGTCAACGACAAGTTTGGTGGAACCGGTGGTGTTTTCCGCATTCACAAGAACTCTCCCTTCTCGATGGCTTCAGCCCCTCCGTCGCCTGCGCCCCAGAACGGCAAGAGCATCGTGAGACCTGCCTTGGAGCGTCGCCCCGTTTCCGCCCTGAACATCGCCACTGGTGGAGTTGAAGGTCAGGAGCCCGAGGCTGCCGGTGATGAGAACGATGAGACCAAGCAGAACGAGACTGTGGGCGAGCAGCCTGGCCAGGATACCACATCCCTCTTCGAGCCTGAGTTGCATGGCGATGGTGGTAATGTGGAGCCAGGCTATGAGGTCGAAGGTGGTTGGGGACGTGATGAGGCCGTCACCTTGCTCAGACAGTTCTACGTGCAGGAGAACGGTAGGGCTCCTGTGCCGAGGAAGAAGGAGGGCAGAGCGGCCCGCCTGGCGGCCATGATGGAGCGTGACGGACATGCTGGCGGACCCATGGCTGATGCCCCTGCGATTGCCAAGCCCGATGAGAATGGCGACGCTGTTGACGGAGACGCCGCGGTGCAGGATGGCGAAGAGAAGATTGATGAGAAGACGGAGGAGGAGAACTCAGGTAACAGCTCGGAGGTTTAATCCAGTCACTGGATCGAGGTACTGTCTTGATTTCCTGCAGCTTTACGAGCAGGATCTGGATTCTCAAAAAGGAGTGTTTCGAATATTGATTTGTGGAGGTATGTCTTCCCTCCCTCCCTTTTAACCCTCGTATACTTACTGATGATTGGTAGGTTATATCGTCAAGCATTAGGGACCGAAAAGCATATACAGGCTTTGCAACAGACTGTAAGGCATAAAAGCATAAGGCATGGAATGGCGTAGCACGAGATATGGTAGGGAGGCTGTTGTGTTTTTGTATCAGTTTTTTGAAGTGTAGTGTTTGTGCATTGGTTTGCATGTAGAAGATCGGTATCACGAGACCGTGAGGACTTCAGGTTATGGAAAAGCTATGGATACGTGCGGAAGCAAAGAGTGAAAAAGAAAGGAACGGGAAAAGGCTAAGGAAGATGTTATGCCTCACGGCGTTATGGAACATGGCCAGTTTACACCACGTTGGTCATGGAGAGATGTCATGGGCTTGAGGTGAACGCAGTCTAGAGGCCTTGCTATTTCAAATGGACGAGGGCTTATCATGGCTGTTGATTATGAGTAGTCTACGATATTGGAGGTTGTCTATGAAAATCTTCTACGTGGCTCGCTTTGGACATGCCCATTGAACGTATATATATGCCTGTGATCACCCGGGCTCGGGTCACCCCTATCCAACCATCCGTCCTTCACATTTCTTGCTCCTTCCCTGCCTCCTTTAGTCACACACCCCCCTCAGATCAGCCCTCGATTTATATATTACCCCCATGTGCCCCATCCCTCACCTTCAATGCCGATAAACCCTCTCAACAGCCTCTGCATTCCCCTCCCAATCCACCGTCTGTTCCCCCTCCTCCACATCAACAACCATTACCTCCCTAATCTTCTCCACCTCCTCCTTCGTAACCCCCAGCTTCTCAATCACATATTTCTCCGCACCACCATACTCCGCATCAATGTACTGCAACGTAGCCAGCATGAATTCCTTTCTCGAAGAGACCATGCGCTCGGCAGCTGCCCGGTCCCCGTCAAAGGCCGGGTCGGCAAGCACGTGGTCGACGATGGCGGACTTGCGGTGGGCGAGTCCTAAGTCGGTGAGGGAGTACTCGTGGGCGATTACCTCGTGGGGAAGGCAGAGGAGGGCCAGGAGCAGGGCCACGAAGAGGCCGGTGCGGTCTTTGCCGGCTGAGCAGTGCACAAGCAGAGGCGCTGGCTTGGATGTAGAAGAGGAAGAGGAAGAGGCAAGTTGCTTGAAAATGGTTCGGTAAGGGGCGTATTCGTTGGTTGGGTCGGCGGCGCCGGCGAGGATGGTGGAGTAGGCGCGGACGAAACCCTGTGTTTGAATGTTAATGTAATGGACGGTTGTCAGTCAGAGGAGGTGGTGGTTTTAGGAAGGAATGGGGGGGGAAAGAGCGAAGGGAAAGAAGGGAAGAAAAAAAAAAAAAAAAAAAAAAAAAAAAAAACAAGAGTCTAATAATATGGAAAAAGGAGAAAAGACAAAAAGAAAGCAAAACAAAAAAAAAAAAAGCTTTTGGGTTCTGTTCCAGCCTCGTAAGGCGATTGTGTGTAAAACCAAGTGGTCACCCGGGTAAGTTACAAAGGAAAAAACTGAAGCATCGTCGGATAATACATGCTAAGGTATGCTGTCCATCAAGGTTCTCAAAACAAAGTCGCACATTGTGTCTTGCTTGCTGTTGCATGGAATACGTAACCTTTGCAGACAGACACAGTTGAACATGCAAAAGTGACATATTGATGCAGGTCAAAATGGAAGGAAGGACGGGACGGTCAGGTGAGAGGGGATGAGACGCCTTAAGCCACAAAACGCCAACACATCGACAACCAACCATCCGTCCTACCGACATGCTTCATCAAAGCTTTCGTTATGGCCTCATGACAACAACGTTGTGCCACACATCATCTGCCACTTCTCAGTGCCCTTTTCCTTGTGTGTTCGCAACCTCTTCCCCCGTTCTGCCCCTTCTGGGTATTACTTGCAGCCTCCATCCAGCCTCACAAAAGCTGTTTCACGGTGTAAGGCAAGCAAGCTCCAGTGACCCGGACAACTTCCGTCGTCTGAGTAGGAGCGGTAACGCAAGGCGGGAGGAGGGTAGGTACCGGCTACCATCACTTTTCCCCGGACCCTCAAGGAGACGCAAAAAAGAAATACACAATGGAAGATTTAAAAAAAAAAAAAAAAAAAAGAAAACCCCGAAAAAACTCACCTCCGGCCCATTAGTATAATCCCTAAACCTCCTCATCTTAACCGCCTGCGCCTCCGGCGATAAATCCACATTCGCAAACACGGGCGTCCAGTGCCTCCGCGCGCCCTCCCACTCCCTCGGCTCCGTCCCGGGCTTATCTTCTTGGCCAAACTCCAGCCGGGACCGGAAGTCGTACACGTGCGCAATGCCCAGCGTTTGCATCACGGCTACGCCCTCGTCTGTGAGCTTGGTTGTGTCCGCGGACCGGAAGACCACGCCCTTACGGACCATCTTTTTCTTCTTGTTGCCGGAAGAAGAGGAAGAAGAAGACGGAATCTCGTAGCCGCCGACGTCGCGGAGATTGGCGAGCCCCGGGGCGGAGATGAAGGGTGGCGAGGGGAGGATGAGGCTGCCGACAGAGGAAGACGGGGTCGGGCCGGGGAGCTGGCTTGGGTGGGGGGCGCCGGAGCCGGAGCCGGAGCCGGCGGCGGGGATAGGGGGTTGGACACTCATTTTGTCGGCTGGGATGAGGTAGTAGTAACTGGGGGTGGGGGTCGGAGCTGGGAGCTGTAGCCTTGTGTTGTGTACGACTTGAGAAGTTGGGATCTATGGCGTCTGAGTGGATGTAAGAGTGATTGAGTGTGTGTTGTCGGTTGTTGTGTAGGACGGGTGAGGGGTCAGGGGGTGTTGAGTGCTACAGATCCTCTTCTGAGTGCCAAGACTTTGAAGCTAGAGCCGGTAGAATGCTCCTCTACAATATTCGCGATTCAAAAAAAGCCTTAGTTA